CGTGTTCGAGTTACTGGATCAACACGTGACCGTCAACGTCCTGGTCCACAACGCGTTACAACCCGGGCTCAAGACCGCTACATCCGGGTCACACATCTGCGTGACAGATTCCGCCCAGCGACTCGAACAGGTGCAGCAGTCGTCGGAAGACAAGGACCAGTATGTGCCAACACTGTAAGACGTCGTCTAAGAGAAGTAGGGCTCCGTGCACGACGACCTTACGTTGGAGCTATCCTCAGGGATCATCACCGTCAGTGGCGTTTGATATGGGCTCGAGGACACCAGACATGGAGAAGAGTAGACTGGCAAAGTGTACTCTTCAATGATGAGAGTGATGAGAGTCGCTTTCATCTTTATCACGCTGATGGCCGTCAACGTGTGTGGAGACGTCTTGGGGAACGTCTTGCAGACTGCTGCGTCTTCGAAACGAATAGATGGGGTGGGGGAAGTGTAATGGTGTGGGGAGGCTTCACATTTCATCACCGGACCCCCCTACACATTTGCAGGAGTAGCGTTAATGCTGTAGCCTACCGTGAGCGCACCCACAACTTCAGCACTTCCAACAGGATAATGCACGTCCGCATACCGCCCGTTTTAGTATGGACTACCTGGCTGCTAACAACATTAATGTCTTGGACTGGCCAGCCATGTCTCCGAACATGGCACCGATAGAACATGTCTGGGATGGGATTTGACGCCGTCTGTATCGGAGACCACAGATGCACACCATTGCTGCTTTAGAAGCTGCTCTTGTCCAAGAATGGAACAATTTGCCCCAGGCCTTCTTTCAAACATTGGTAAATTCCATGCGACGTCGCTGCACAGCGTGCGTAAGAGCCCGTGGAGGACACACGCGCTACTGACGTCTGTGTCATACTTTTGGTTTTGACCCCTCTAACTTTGTACTGTTGATTACAAATTAAACATCCATAAGTGTACAAATGTGTTGTTATTGATGTGTTCCCATTTGAATATTGTTCACAATAAGAAGCAAAATAAATAAGATATGTTTACAGGATCATTTTGTTATACGAAAAACTAAGTGATGCGTTTTCCATGGCGCTCAGTATATTAACATAGACTTCATCGTCTCGGCTATACCATGGATCATATTAACATGGACTTAGTCGTCATGAAATGAAATGAAATGAAACGTTCTACTTTTCTGCTCCTAACCTGGGCTAATGAAGACGGGCATACGCCATACAGTGTGCTATGAGGGAAATTTTTTGCCCGGGCAGCGGCGATACCGCCTACTCTTATATCGAATTCTATCTGCCAAGGGATCTTTTATGTGCACCCCAATGTGTACACGGGACCTCGGGTTTTCGTCCAATCCGAACGACTAGACAGCTGTCCTGGTCAGACCCTCCATCCTGCATCACTGACAAGGGGAAACCACGCCGGAAAATCTGGATGAACTTTCTCGGCCAATGCAGGGATGGAACACGCGACTTCCAGGTCAGCGAGCCAGCGTCTTACCCACTTAGCCACGTGATCCATGTATCATATTAACATAGACGTGATCATCATAGATATACCTTGAATAAGTTAACATAGACTTGATGTTCATAACTACCATGTATTTTTTATTAATGTCAGATTTCTTGGAGGATTCATTTGTCCGGCACTAATTAACCCGGGAGCCACGGTGACACAGTGCTAAAAGATGTTGAAGGGGGGGGGGGGGGCGAATGGTTAACGCGTACGCATTGGATCATAAGGTCTGCCATTGGAGAAATGACATCTCTTTATCTAATCTTCCATAATATCCCTTTTTATAAGTATTAACACTAGAATACGATACGTTAAAGGACTAATCCCGATAATTTTTGAAAAAATAAAACTGCTTGATTCTGTGTTAAAATCCCTTAAAATCCTCTACCCAAGGGACAAGCAACTAACTCAATATTTGTGATATGTTTTCAAACAACTTAAACCTGTCAGTCTTCATCTGGAAATGGAAACTGGTGTATTATGCAGTGTCTGGGTAAAACCAGACTTTTTTTTTATAAAAAATAATGTGTAGGTGAAATTTACCATTCATTATCAAGTACAGCACATGGGTCGTTCACTGTATAGACCTCTCAAGGAACGGAAATCGATTATCAGGTCACCCAACGAAAAAATTGACTCGAAATCTTGAAAGGGTTACGTGTCCGGATAAGCATTTTTGATGTTCACGTCGAAACGACTCAATATTTTGAGCTGAAATTTTGAGACAAGGTAAATACACCATCCCTCTATATTTTGGCGCTTAAATTTCATACGTACTTGGACTTTTATTTTTGAGACTCTGTTCAAATTGGGAAAGTTCCTTTAAAGTTTAATACTGACACAAAATTAATATACAAACCATTTTTTTTATTCAAAATGAAATTAAAAGAATCTTCGTCGTGCGTGCAGTTTCTGTTCTTACACACAAGTAATATGGAATTTGGGTGTTTGTTGCATGGCAACCGTTTGTTGTATATTGTAGCTAAGAACAAGTAAAAGGGAATGTGGGCGTATCTTGCATGGCAACCGTTTGTTGTATATTGTAGTTAAGAACAAGTAATATCGAATGAAGTTTATAAAACATTCATTATCAACTAATGATATTTCAGTACAGATACAAATCATAAGGGATCACGTGGCTAAGTGGGTAAGACGCTGGCTCGTTTACCTGGAGGTCGGGTGTTCGATCCCTGCATATGCCGAGAAAGTTCATCCCGATTTTCCGGCGTGGTTTCCCCTTGTCAGTGATGCAGGATTTAGGGCCTGACAAGGACAGCTGTCTAGTCGTTCGGATGGGACGAAAAACCGAGATCCCGTGTACACATTGGCGTGCACGTAAAAGATCCCTTGACAGTTGGAATTCGGTATAAGAGTAGGCCGTAGCACCGCCGCCCGGGCAAAATTTCCCTCATAGCACACTGTATGGCGTATGCCCGTCTTCATTAGCCCAGTTTAGGAGCAGAACAGTAGGACGTTAAACCCCATTTCATTTGATTTCATAAACTTTAAATTTGGATCTATAAATAAAACTTTATAAACCTTTTTGTTTTTGTTCCTTTATTCAAATCAAATGAAACCATATAAAATAAATGAGATTATAAATTATGCATATTACCCGGCCCCTAGTACACCAAACCTCTAGCTTTTATAGAACTTTATAGATAACTTTAATGTCTTTTTGTTAAATCTGTCATAAATCAAGAACAAGGTACAGATATTAAGCATAAAATGTGTTATTTAAGATACACTGTGTAAGAACTAAATCGGTTTATAGCAAGGTTTTTATTTGACTTCAAATGTTATATAAATTATTCACATGCCAGGCCAATAATAAACTAGATAGACCATCGGGTTGTCGAGAATTGAATGGCTTGAAACACGATCGCCATTTAATAATTAAATCTAAACTTGATGAATGGCTCAGATTAATGTAATTTGAATAAGATCCCATTATCTATTTTCAGATTAACCAACCGTATAAATACACGACAAACGTACTGAATTATAAACGTACTAAATTATATGAAAATATAATAAAAATTATATAAAGCACTATTTAGGTGCTATAAACTGTAAACTTTAAAACTGATATTTTTTTAGTGCCGATGTATATATAATAAAGAATATTACTACAATTAACATATATTTATTATCAAGACTAATTATCATTAATAACTATCAACCGACGTATATAATAATTCGGATAGAACGAAATACCGAGGTCGGTCCCGTGTACACATGCTTGCACGTAAAAGATCCCTTGGCAGTTGGAATTCGATATAAGAGTAGGCCGTAGCGCCGCTGTCCGGGCATAATTTCCCTCATAGCACACTGGCGTATATCTGTCTTTATTAGCCCAGTTAGAGAGATAGAGAGAGAAATGGGGTTTAACGTCCACTCGACACAAACTAGGTCATTTCGGGACTAACATATGTTTTAATCTTTTTATTTCAATAATTCGCTCTGCGCGTAGGGGTCTTTAGCAGTGGGAGGAAACCGGAGGACCCGGAAAAAACCCACGAGATTGGACAGGCGACCCTACTCCTTGTCACGTTCAACCGGGGAATCGAAACCCCGCAAGTTGACTACATGACAGACGGTATGATACAGCGCGCGCGTGCTAACCATTCGGCCATCCAACCCCCCAGCCCATTTAGAAGCAGAACAGTAGGATGTGAAACCCCATTTCATTTCATATCATTTCGCTAACCAGGGCTCTGGGATTCGCTCCCGATGCTGGCCTTGAAGGTTGCCCTCTGGATTTTCCGGCGTAATCCCCCATGGCAAGGACAGTGTCTAGTCTTTAGGATTGGACGAAAATCAGAATCCCGGTGTACGCATTGACGTGAACTTTATAGAAACATTGGCAGTTGGAATTCGATATAAGAATGGACGCCAAAGCGCCTCTGTTTGGGCAAAAATTCCATCATAGCACACTATATATTGATAAAGAATTCTAGTCGAAACGTTGCCCGGTAATATACCGTTAAAGTATTCCATAGTTACTCGTGAACATGCCAGTCAATATACGTATTTATGCATATTATAATGTTTTTCTGCGATATAATTTAGCCTATCTCGTAATATTCACCATATGTTTGGTGCAATATAGCCCGGTTGGAGCTGAGGTGCCATAAAACCACTTTTCATTTCAATTAATTTATTGAAAGGCGACGCCCATATTACAAGCTTACGCAATACGTATAAATAGACTGGTTTTCCCGTTACTTAGTATAGAATAGACTACGTTATCCAGACATAAATAAACACCTACTGAACAGACAATTGTGGAGGATTCATTCAGATAGTTACAACACTATTTATTATATTGATATATTTAGGTTATCTTAAACACCAGGAATTTATTATATTCGTTTTAACAAGTCGGGATTATATTCTTTATCGAGAATGGATATTCATGAGTGTAGAAATATTATAATTATTTATCGTACTTGATCTAGCTTAATGTAAATAGTAGTGAGACAGGTTATACAAGACTAAAACTCGTCATTAATACACTATACATAGACTGTGTTTTTCCAATGGGTAATTTTTATAGAACCCCCTTGATCTAGTGTTATACAGTTCTGTTTGTCTTTAGTAAGGTTCTAAGGGAACTCTAGTAGAAGAAAGTTGTCATAGAATAATAAGAACAAGAAGAATGGCCACCCCAGTAAGTACAACTACGTCACGTTTATAAAATAACACGTCAGTTTATGACGTCAATAACTAACCATCATAATCTTGATAATGACTGTCTTATCTCTCGTAGAATACAAATACTGACGAGTGAGTACACGAAGCAGTGTATGTTTACTCCTATATTTGATACAACTAGTGTCTCTACATCTATGAGAGTCGTGTTGATGTAACAATTTACAAGCTCACTGGTTTAGATCATAAGGGCTGTCATAGAGTCACGTGGTGTGGTTCTGATCCGAGCATGTACCTGACAAGGAGTAGAGTCACCGGTCCAATCTCGCGGATTTTCTCCAGGTCCTCCGTTAAATGGACGTTAAACCCCAGTTCTTTCCCAGTGAGGAACTGTGTTATTGTCATTCCCCATATCACCTTTTTTCTGTCTGTGTCCACAAGCCCTAACAACATCTTCAACACGATAGAAACAGAAAGTAGGGTTTTAGCATTGAACGGAATGGTGTTGTTGTTGTCCCACCTCCATCGATCAGCAGTGGCGTACAAGGAAAGGGGAAGGAGGTAGACGGACCAGGTCATGAAATCTGGTTAGATGGAAATTGGGGGTGGGGGGGAGGGGATCAAATATCCAATCAAAGAATGCGTAGACGGACCAGGTCATAGATTCTGGTAAGATAGAGAGGTGTGTGTGCATGTGTGTGTGTGGGGGGGGGGGATCAAATATCCAATCAAAGAATATAAATTTGGCTTACAGTCTAACATGCTGGTGTGAATGCGAATAAACGAGACAAGAGTAGAGAACATGTTACATTAATTTGAATACAAAGATTAATTCATCTGTTTTTGTATATATTAAATATTTAAAATGTCTTCTCGTCACCCATCTTTCAGTACTCGACCCTGTGTTTAAATCAATGAGTTGTCCCCAGGCATCAACAAACTTCTGTACGCCACTGGTCAACCGCGAGCATCTCAAACTAGAGATTCAACGCATGCGCTTAATTTACAGCTCTCTTTCTGATATTTATATTCGTCTATGATTATCATATCTAAGAAGAGAGATATTGTTGTAATAATATTTACAAGTAGAGACTAGTTGTTTATTTATTTTCTATTCCAGTTATCAACCGTTACCAACAATACCTACATGTATAATATACATGGTGATTGTCAAGCTGTACAGATTGGAACATCAAACACAATAAATGAAACTGGTAACCAGACCGACAGTGATGATTGCACATCCGATATGGAAGATGTGAGATTCCAGATCAATCGGATAACTGAAGAGATGGCTGAAAAATTTGAAAGAAAAGATGAAGAAATAGCTGAATTAAAAGACAGGGTGGCTGACCTGGAAGCATTTAAGAAGAAAGTAGAACAATCGGAAGTCAAGACAAACACCAACACTAATACTAGACGTTATGTCAGGGATACGAGTAATGATATTACTCTAAAGTTATATAAAGGGTAAGTAAATGTGTTCATAATAATATATATTTTGACAACTGTCAAATTTTACATACTGTTACAAGAGTCTTGAGTTTTAACTTATATCGAATGATGAAGTTTCTATATCACGTGACTTGAATAATAACCAACTAGAGGTGACTTGAATAATATACTGACTAGTGAAATAATGGGATGTATTTTACAATATCCATAGTCAAAATAGTATTATATATTTAATAGTGTATTTAATAATAAGGGCTCAAGACAATGATTTTATCAATAATTTATCATTTAAATAATTTATAATACTCGTGTTTCTAAGGTTTACAAAGATGATTATTGATAATGATATATTAACCTGTATTTATATCTATGGTGGCTGATTGGTAAGGAAATGAAATAAAATGAAATGGGGTTTAACGTCCAGCTGTTCTGCTCCGGGAGTCACAGTGGCTAAGTGATTAAGGCGCTGGCTCGCTGGCCTTGACGTCGCGGGTTCGCCACCGGTGTTGGTCGACAAAGTTCATCAATATTTTCCGGCGTGGTTTCCCGTTGTCAGGGATGCAGGAAGGAGGGCCTGACAAGGACAGCTATCTAGTCGTTCGGATGGGACAAAAAACCGAGGTCCTGTGTATATATTGGCGCGCACGGAAAAGATCCCTTGGCAATTGGAATTCGGTATAAGAGTAGGCCGTAGCGCGGCTGTCCGGGTAAAATATCCCTCATAACACACTGAATGGTATAAACCCGTCTTCATTAGCCCAGTCGGAGCAGAACAGTAGGATGATAAACTCTATTTCAACTAGTTTTATTCTGCTCCGACTGGGCTAATGAAGACGGACACGCCCTATACAGTGTACTGTGAGGGAAACTTTACCCGGATAGCAGCGCTACGACCTACTCTTATATTGAATTCAAACTGTCAGGGGGTCTTATACGTTCACGCCAGTATGTAAATGGGGCCTCGGTTTTTCGTCCCATCCGAACTACTATACTACTGTCCCTTGCCAGCCCCCCCCCCCCCCCCCCCCCCCCCGTCCTGCACCACTGTCAAAGAGGAATCTCTCCAGAAATGTGGCTTAATGTCCTACTTTTCTGGTAGTCCCGGTGACTCTTAGAATAAGACGATGGCTCGCTAACGTTGAGGTCTTGTGTTCAATCACTGCATTGGTCGAGAAAGCTCATCGGGGATAACGTATAGTCTTTTGGGTGGGACGAAAAATCGAAGTTCCGTGTACATATTAGCCAGCACGTAAAAGGCCCCTCTGACAGATAGAATTCAAGATAAGAGTAGGCCTTAGCGCTGCTATCCGGGCAAAGTTTCCCTCACAGTGCACTGTATAGCCTATGCCCGTCTTCATTAAGCAGAACAGTAGAACGTTAAACACAATTTCATTTCATTCAATTTTCCTACTTTTCTGCACCGATCGGGCTATTGAAGAGAGGCATGCGCAATGCAAAGTACTATGACGGAAATTTTCAATTTTCGAAATTCAACTGTGAAGGATTCTTTTATGTGCTCGCCAATTTGTACACAGGAGCTTGTTTTTTGTCCCATCTACACAACTAGACACTGTACTTTGTCAGACCTGTCGTCCTGCACTACCGACAGAGAGGAACCACGCTGCAAAATCCCGGGGAACTTTCTTGACCAACACCAGGATCAATGTATATAATCATAGTATTGAGAGGAATATGGCCGATAACCCAACATCACAACATGATACCAATCAGCCACCATATATATCAGTTGATAATGATATAATATATTAACCTGTATTTATATCAGTTGATAATGATATAATATATTAACCTGTATTTATAGATATAAAGATATGGGTACTATAACTGTCAGTAAGAAAGTCAGTTTTAATGATTTAATGAAGTTGATAGAAGAGAAGGAGAATAAGAAGATTAGTGTGATTGTTATAATAGGATATAGAGATGGTAGTTCGAGAGATATCTACGACAGTGATAGCAACAAGAACGACTATAGCCTGGAACAACTTGGTGTTGTAGACCAGGACGAGGTTTGGTACTGGTGATAGTAAAATATTGAGATTATATTGATATGATGTATTGATGGGCTCCTTTATATTGAACAATGAGGTGTTTGGGGGGGGGGGGGGGTAGATATTACTTATAGTAAAATATAATGGTCGAACCAGAACGAGGTTAGGTATTATTATCTTATTGTCTCTTGATTAGGTTGTGAGGGTGGAATAAAGTAAAATGTTAAAATGTTAGAGTGGTGTAATGTGGTGGGTGGGAGTGGTGTGTGTTGGGTGGTGTGTGTAGGGTGTGGTTAGTGCCGTAGGTGTTGGTGTTGTGTGTGATGTGATGGGTGGTATACGTGGTTGGGTGGGTGCTATGTTAGTGATGAGTATTACCAACCACATCAGCACCCTAGTATTTAACCAAGTATCTTATACCCCCCCCCCACCACCCCCATGATTGATATATTGAATCTTACTCTAAGTAATATCTTACCTGTCCCACCTGTTCCACCTGATTGATATATTGAATCTTACTCTAAGTAATATCTTACCTGTCCCACCTGATTGATATATTGAATCTTACTCTAAGTAATATCTTACCTGTCTCACCTGTCCCACCTGATTGATATATTGAATCTTACTCTAAGTAATATCTAACATCCTAATATAAAACTAGCTTACTACTGTAAATAAAGCTGTAATTCAATAGTCACGATTATCAGGTGATATGTAGTCGTGATCATGTGATAACTAACTGACATATATATAATATATAATTATATTAGTGAAACAATGTTTTATGCTTTTTATTCTAATTTTGTTTCAATAAAATATTTTATAACTAAACTAATGTCCTTCTACTAATATTTCTATGGTGTCAGGAAATGAGATAGTTACCACTAACAGAGGGGGTCAGTCTGTGGTATCATGAAATACTGGATAACGCTGTCAACATGTGTCTAGTCATACGAATGGAACAAAAAAAGAGAATCTATCTTGAAGAAATAATTCTAGGAACAGTTGGCTGCAATGGGCAATTAATACAGGGTGACGTACACAATATGTTTCTAGTCATTCGAATGGGACGTGCAAAAAAAAAAAAAACCCAATCAAATACAGATTACAGATGCTTTACGCACGAAAAAAGGACTTTCTCGTTGATTAAAATAAATACGCAAATACAATCTGTTTCTAATCTAGATTAAATGAGTTTTTAGTGGTGACTTGAAAATTGTGAATCTTTAAGATCCTTTAATTTTTAATGGCGGAGGGGTTGAATGGACGAATGGTTAGTGCGTGCGCGTTGTATCAATAATGTTTGTCATATTGAGTCAACTGGCGTGGGTTCGATTCCCAGGTTGTACGCGATAAGGAGTAGGGTCGCCTGTCCAACCTCGTTGGTTTTCTCCGGGTCCTCCGGTTTCATCTCACTTCAAAAGACCCCTACGCGCAAGCAAATTATTGAAAAAAAACTGAACCATGTTAGTCCCGAAATGACAATGTTTGTGTCGAGAGGACCTCTCTCTCTCTCTCTCTGGCAACAAATTCCAAACGTTTTAGTTTTTTTTTTGTTTTTTTTTTATTTATTTAATTCACAAAAATATTGCACACATACAAAATTAAAACAATAAAAGTTACATCACTTTAAAGTCACCATCTAATTAAATTTGATATTGATTTTATCATTAATTTCTATATAGGAATTCATTGAAAATAGTAATAAATATTTATGTCGATTACTGTGCTTTGACATATACTGATACAAGTAATTCATGTGTTTGGTTAGAAGTGTTTTAAATAATTTACACAAATCTACCCTGGTGGCTTCATTTAAAAACAAAATTCTCCGTTTGATAATAGCTAATCTAGCAAACGAGAAAATAAAAATTAAAAACAGATTATTGGCTTCATTTCGCACAGGATAACCAAACAGTAATCACTGACGAAAATCATCTAGTCCAAAACCCGAGGATTGGAAAAACACCTCTATAAAATCTAAAATATATTCATGCAAATTCTTAACAGATTTGCAATCTAGAATTATATCCTACTCATACGTATGTTACCATCAATTGTAGCATGTCTAGTGAATTGAGACTGGTCCGGGCGTTTATGTCTGTAAATGTCACATAAAATATTGGTATTTAAAAAAGAATTGAAAGCTAAGGATGACCTTTTGTTGGTGTACATATTCTTCGTTCTATCTAAATAGGGGTTTAATATCTCGTTAAAATCACCACATAATATACTATAACTATCCGAATCTATGTAGCTACTTAACTCATTAAAAAAGATTATACGATCATTATCCTTATTTGGAGCATATATAGATAAAATTGAAATAGTTTTTTCCTCAATTAAAACATTAACTTTAATTATTCTGCCAGTAGTATTACTATGAACATGTTGAATACATGATTTGAATTTTACGGAAAATAGAATAGCCACACCCTTACGGTGTACGTCCGGGGCGTTATTAAATAAAATTTCGCCTTCCCATAGGTGTTTTATGTTATTAACAAAGACATCGTCCCAAAAGGTTTCCTGTAGACATATAATATCAAGTTTTAAGTCTTTTATGAAATGAAATACATTATTAAGTTTAGTACGGTCCCGCCGACCGTTTACGTTCCATGAAGCTATCTTAATCATTATAATTATTGTTAAAAGAGAGGTAGACGAATACATATGTATGCTTACGAGTTCAACCTGTAGATAATCACAAATAAATAAATGTATACTTATATTTACAGCATCTAGTTAACAGACACGGATATACAATGAAGGCTCTATAGATCAATCCATCTAAAGTGATACAATATCTAAAATAAAAATCAAGAGAGTGAAACACCAGCACATAAATGTATACATGTAGCATGTAAAAAAGTATATGCCCACAAGCAGCTACTGTTAGATCAATTTTATTAAAGGGGAATAACCCTTGAAACGTTAATGTTGAAAACGTGTAAAACATTTGAAAAGTTCTGTTGTAGAAATCACTGGAAAATAATTCCTGGTACATCAGAGAGGTCGTCGAAAGCGATTTAATTCGTACATGAATATTCTGAACGTATCTGCACATATACACATGATCAAAGCTGGGGGACAAAAGGAAAGGATTATATATCAAACTTATTATTTGTTTGGCGATTTGGTTGGGATCCTGGATTTTACATTTGTTCCACACGATTTTTTAGATTCAGAATCTTTGCTAATCGACGGCAAGCGTTTAAATCTATGTGTCTGTTCATTAACCTTTTTCTTTCTATCTCGATTCCTTTTCTCTGATAATTGCTCTTCATTCTCTAAATTGTGTTTTGTAATTAGTTTCATTCGTCTTTTTCTATACCTGGTTGAATATGTTTGGAAAGCGTTTTCATCTTCTTTTTCCTCAGAATCACTACTAACAGAATCACTACTAACAGAAACACATACCTGTTCTTTTTCTATTTCTTCCGTGTTTCCTATTTCTATATCTTTCGTCTTTTCTATTTCTATGTTTTCTATTTCTATGTCTTCCGTCTTTTCTCTTTCTATTTCTTCGTCTACTTCACCCGTGTGTTTCTCTATCTCACCCTCTTCTATTTGTTCATTGTTGTCTGTAGTCGTGTTGTTGTTTCCTGACTCGGGTTTATTTAGTGGATTGTTTTCACAGTCGACTGTCTGATTACAAATACATAGATTTTTAGATTTATAACATTCTTCACATACAGTTAATTCACATTCAAATTTTGTGTGGCCTGTCTCTTTGCATCTATGACATATTATATTTGGGCAATTTTTAACTTCATGTCCCGTCTGTATACAATTATAACACACACGGAGTTGGTTATCATGTTTTACATGGAAGGACCGACCATCAAACTTCGTCGCATATGGTAGACTCTGGACATGAGGGGGAAATTCAACTTTAAGATATCTGGTACCATCAGATATACTCCGATCACCATGTTTATAATACCGACGAATACGGACGTCTTATCTCGCTTTTGGGCTTGACATTCCATGCATGTAATTTTTCGTAAATTTCACCATCTTCAATATAGTGTGGTATGTGCATGAATGATACTATTTTAACAGTTGAAGCCACGAAAGTATATTCTAATACTACCCCATTTAGTCTGATGTTTTCATCCTTAAGTTTATTTAAGCAATCAGAAATTTCAAACGTTACCTCATAACATCCTTTCATTGGGACACATGCACAAATAGTATCCGTACCAGTGACTTCTTCTATAGCATCAATTAGATGTCCCGTATTCAATCTGTCATCAGAATATGGAACTATCTTTTAAATACATCTTCATTTTATCACTAGATTTCAAGCAGCTAATAAAGTAAGTATTTCTCAATCCAAGTCCGAGTACAAAGCGCAACACGGATTATACCCATAGTGTTTACAAGCAAAGCAGAGCTTGTATAAACACGTCCGTCCAGCTCGACAAACGCCTTAACCCTGGCACATTTTTGCTCAATTTATATACCTATTTCGCTTTATATAACTTCGATTATAGTCGATTTACATGTGCATTCTGATAATACGTCTATCACTCATGAAATCAAACCGGAAGTCCCTTTTTAGTGGTGACTTGAAAATTGTGAATCTTTAAGATCCTTTAATTTTTAATGGCAGAGGGGTTGAATGGACGAATGGTTAGTGCGTGCGCGTTGTATCAATAATGTTTGTCATATTGAGTCAACTGGCGTGGGTTCGATTCCCAGGTTGTACGCGATAAGGAGTAGGGTCGCCTGTCCAACCTCGTTGGTTTTCTCCGGGTCCTCCGGTTTCATCTCACTTCAAAAGACCCCTACGTACGCGCAAGCAAATTATTGAAAAATAAACTGAACCATGTTAGTCCCGAAATGACAATGTTTGTGTCGAGAGGATCTCTCTCTCTCTCTCTCTCTCTCTGGCAACAAATTCCAAACGTTTTAGTTTAGTTTAGTGTTAGAAATAGCAAGCATGTTTTTGATATTCGATCTTAGGGATTACAGTTTGTCAAAAGTTCAGATATATAAGGGGACGAAATGATTTCGACATTGATAGACTGATGACAGAACTTTATACTGGAATCCAGGATTCGACATTCAACCAAATGAAATGAAATGAAATGAAATGGGGTTTAACGTCCTACTGTTCTGCTCCTAACCTGGGCTAATGAAGACGGGCATACGCCATACAGTGTGCTATGAGGGCAATTTTGCCCGGACAGCGGCACTACGGCCTACTCTTATATCGAATTCCAACTGCCAAGGGATCTTTTACGTGCACGCCAATGTGTACACGGGGCCTCGGTTTTTCGTCCCATCCGAACGACTAGACAGCTTTCCTTGTCAGCCCCTCCGTCCTGCATCACTGACAATCTGGATGAACTTTCTCGGCCAATGCAGGGATCGAACATCCGACCTCCAGGCTAGCGAGCTAGCGTCTTACCCACTTAGCCACGTGATCCCCGACATTCAACCAGTGGAGCGACTTTAACATGGATGATATGTGTAAATACAGTTTGTAATGATCCGCTGTGTGGTACCTAATACAACAACTTAATGTTACCTACCTGTATATAACAGTACCTGTCGTCTATATACAACAACCTACCTGTATATAACAGTACCTGTCGATCATACTATACATCAACCTACCTGTATATAAGTCCCGTAGAGAGGGAGATAACTCTTTTTAACCTGACAAATTATTTTAGTTCAGTACAGTTATATCAGCCCACCATTGTATCAACTTGTATCAACTGATAACACTTCTCAGCTGAATAATACAATAGGAAATTAATTTATCAAAGGCTCTGTTATTTTAAATATAATATTTTACAGGTTACACAAATGTGAAT